TCTCTCTCTCTCTCTCTCTCTCTCTCTCTCTCTCTCTCTCTCTCTCTCTCTCTCTCTCTCTCTCTCTCTCTCTCTCTCTCTCTCTCCCCCCTCCATTTCTCCTCCATCTGTCCTCCCTCTCTCCTCCATTTCTCCTCCCTCTCTCTCCTCCCTCTCTCCTCCATCTCCTCCATTTCTCCTCGATCTCTCCTCCATCTCTCGTCTCTCTCTCGAAGCCGAGAACGTTATTCTGCATGCAGGTGGAGAGGGGCTGATATTCTGACTCTATCATTGCTGCGTGCAGGTTGTCATGTCGAGCCGCAAGCATGAGGCCAGCCTTGCCAAGCGCCATTTCGAAGTCCTTGGCCCCTCGGGTAAGGATCCTTTGAAGGGGTCGAAGTGGTGGGTCTGCGATCTGAAATTTTTAGGCAATCTCAGTCGCATGGAGGAACATTTCACGAAAGGGGTTTGCGCAGTTGAGAAATCAACGAAAACGTTGACCGCAGAGGAAATATTGAGAAGGAAGGAAGGATTACGGCAGGCAAGGATAGACGCGGGCATGCCGAGGGACGGTGCCAATGCCCTACTTGTTGTCACCAGTTTGGTGGCTGCTTTTACGGGCGGGGGGTTGGCAAAAGGGGCTGGCGATGCTTGTGGCAAAGCGGCGGGCGATGCTTGTGATGAAGGGGTGGGCGGCAGCGGGCCAGGTATCACGGTGCAACTCACAAGTGCATCTACTGCACCTGCTGCACGGATGCGACAGATGTTGTTGGAGGAGACCAACAGTGTTGTCACAAAGAACGAGGAGACATCAAGAAGAGTAGACCGGTGGATGACGTGCACGAACCAACCATTCAACATGGTTGAGAACGAGTTCTACCTCGACATGGTCAACGCCATACGAGAGGCCCACCCATCGTGGAGACCGCACTCGAGAGAGGCGGCGCGCAATGGCCGATTGAACGGACAACACCAGAGGGCGGTCGAGGACGTGGGAAGGTTGGCGAAGGAGTGGGCTCGCAGTTGCTGTATGGTGCAAGTAGATGGGTGGTCTGACCGGCGGGGAAGACCGCACGTAAACGTCATGGTGTCCTCTCCCATCGGCACCGTCTTTTGGAAGTCAGTGTGCGTAGCCGGAAAGGACAAAGACGCTAGTGCGTACTACAAAATACTAACGACTGCGATTGAGGAGATTGGCCCAAGAAGCGTGGTTGGGGTAATCATGGACAATGCCCGAATTTGTGTGAAGGCCGGGAAGTTGGTGGAGAAAAAATACCTGTGGATATTCTGGGTGGGTTGCACGGCGCATGCCCTTGACCTCGCATTGGAGGACATGGACAAGCGCATTCCGTGGTTTGCGGAAACTGTGAAGAGGGGGAATGTGCTGGGGAAGTTCGTGATGAACCACGACTAGGTTCGAGCACTCTTCCTGACCAAATCGGGTGGTGTGCAGATTAAGAGGCCAGGTGTCACTCGATTCGTGACCAACATCATCATGTTGCAGTCGCTGTGGGACAGGAAGAACGCCCTGAAATTGACTGTGGCTGCTAGCGGGTGGGTGTCGTCCATAGTGCCGCCCCACTTGCGTTCTCAATTTGAGGAGGTGACGGCGGCTATCCTGGATGGCGGTTTTTAGGAGCGGGTGGAGAAGGCCTTGAGGACCACGGACCCCATCGTCACGCTACTGAAGCTTGTCGATGGTCCGGGCGCAACAATCGCCAAGGTTTATCATCGAATGGATGGTGTGGTGGAGTCGATTCGCAAGCTGGACATCTTAACAGACTTCTAGAAGGCAGAGGTCGAGTCGATCCTCATGGAGCGATGGGCGTTCATGACTTCAGAGTTGCACTGTGCAGCAGCCTTCTTGGACCCAGAGTAAAGATCGCAGGGCTCCTTATGGTTGTACACGTGGTGCACGGACGAGATGTTCGATGACGTGAGCTAGCAGGTTGACGAGTGGGTGAATTTGAGGGGGGTTTTGCAATCAGAGGAAGCTTTGCGCGCAGCACGCACCAAGACCCCGGCGATGTGGTGGGATGCGTTTGGCTCGCGGCTGCATCTTTTGCAGCCCCAAGCGATCAGACTTTTGGGCCACGCAAGCTCTTCCGCTGCATGCGAACGCAACTGGAGTCTGCATGAGCTCGTTTTCGGCAGGTGGAGGACGAAGCTTATGCCCACCCGCCTATCAAAGCTCGTCTACAACAATTGGAACCTCCATCTGTAGTGGAGGCAAGAGCACTGTCGTGGTGTGGATGATGTCCACATTTCGTGGGTGGAGAACCTCCATGTGCGTATGAGGCGTAACCATTGTAACACCAAATTCATGAAAACCTAACAAAACGACAAAACCTAACATTTTTTATAGAATGAAAAAGTACAACATCAAACTGTTACTTTTGACACATAAAAAATAATATTTTTAACTGTGTCCCGAGAAAGGATGCAAAAAAACGGGCAAAAAGTCTAACAATTCTTAAAATATGCAAGAAAATCATTTTTAGCAAAGAGCGTGTTATAAGACTATAAACTGTTCTTAGTAGATTGACAAAAAACAGAGCGTAATGACGCGTCGGAGGAGGAAGACGAGTCGGAGAACAACGGCGACGACGAGGAAGTGCCTATGGCAAAGAGGTGGTTGCGCAATGACGAAGTGGACAATGCAATGGACCAGGAGGAGGGCCTTGCGCACATAGATAAGTACATGAATGACTGGCACTTCAACACTCGACCGGGGAGGCAGCTGGAGCGTGCCTTGCGAAGGTTGTCGGGCCATCAACGCCCAACACCTGAAGTGCGATAGAACAAGGAGGACCGGGAGCTGGCGCTGCGGGCTCGAGAGACGGGAGATTGGGTGGAGGGTCGAAAGGAAGGCGGAAGCAGCAGGCAATGTAAAAAGTGCGGCGCCGTGATGAGTGTCGTCGTGATGGTAAACGTGCTGCGGAGGAGGTCATTGCATCTCCAGAGAAACGGAGGAGAGGGCATCCGACCAACAAAGAGGTCGCAGGAAGAAAAGCAGCAACGCGAGCTGAGAAGACAAAGGCAGCGGTGGAGGCATCGAGAAAACTGCTGCAAAGAAAAAAGCAGCAGCAAAAACGAGAAAGAGGGACGACATCATCGACGATGACGGCACGAAAGCATGTTCGTCATCTTCAAATTCATCAGAGGAAGAGGATGATGAAGATCATGATCCCATCGACGGAAAACCGCGGAGTGCTGAGGAGGGAACTGAGCACGAGGAGGAGGAGGAGGAAGACGAGGACGAGGAGGAAGGCGAGGAGGAAGACAAGGAGGAGGAGAAAGGCGGGGGGGAAGAGGAAGGGGAGGGGGAAGAGGAAGGGGTCGCAGAGGAAGAGGGTGAGACTTCTACACGGGGAGGTGCAGAGGATTAGGAAACTTAGGCCGAGTTGATGCTGCTGATAGCAGTTGACTGCAAAGTTCGCAGTTTCGCAGTTTATCTTCTGATGTTTGGTTAAACTTGGAACAAAGTAAGAACTGTGAACTACAACTTCTAGAAGTTGTAGTTCATCTTCTCATCATCAGTTAAGTAACTAAACTTGCTTAAGTCTTTAAGTTGGCATTTTGTCCATTCCTCCCGTGTTGCAGTGTGCGTGTGTGGTTTTCTGTCATTTGACCATTTGCACAATTTTGCAGTGTTCTGTTTTGTTGGCTATGCAGTGAATCTGTGTCTGCATCAGGTAACTACTACGAACTTAACAAGTAATAACAAGTTAACAGGTGAGTGCCCTAGCACACTGCGTACTTCGGAAGTTCGGAGTCTTCGGACCCTTCCACATCTGCAAATAGTTCGCAACTCCGGACTTCCCAAAGGTGCGCACTCCCCCCCAACAGTGGCCCCTACCCTGCAGAAACTAAAAAAAAAAAAAAAAAAAA